TATAATAGATGTTTACATATTGTTTCACGAGTGTGTTGCCTTGCTTTAGACTCAACAAGCGTCTTAAGAGGATCAACATCAATTCCAACATGTCGGCTCCTGCAATCACAGTTTTTAAGGCAAAAGTCACCTGAACGAAACTTGCTGAACCATCGTTGACACTTACGAACGTTCAAAACATTTCCGTAAACTTCTTTGATATTCTTTGTGGCTACAGAGGCGTTGTTTCCCTTCTTGTATTCAAACAGCATTACATGTCGAATGTGTGTCTCGTCGTGTGCCATCACTATAAGGAATTAAAGTGTACTAAACTTTACACATTATATAATCTACACTAACGTGACGTTTAGGCGGTTCGTTTAACTGTTATACGTGATGTACGTTTTTTTGGGTGTCGTTAATGAAAGTATTCCAAAACGCTACATTAATTTTTTAACAACCTAATAGATGAATGGTTCTCTGAACTTAAGGTTAGACGAAAGATACTACAGGTGTTTTCTGGATCTGAATGAATGGTTATCTCAGATTCGGGTTAGGTGAAATATACTACAGGTGTATTCTGGATTTGAATGAATGGTTATATCAGATTCAGGTTAGGTGAACGATACTACAGCTGTTATCCTCACTTTGTTTAGAACATAACTTTCTGAAAGGAAAACGAATAAAGTAACTTGACACCTACCACATTCATCTATTATACTCTACTGTTTAAAGATTTTACGCAGAACTACAGGTCCTGATTAACAGATAACAGCTTACTACGGGTTACTCATCTCAACCTTAAGTTTTCATAGATTCGCAATTTAATATTTCCTTCGAGAATATTTCCCTTTGATTATGTATATACAAATGCACATATTACTAAATAAGCATTGAATATTAACCGATAGCGCAAGTGTCACACAAGATTTGTAGACTGTCACAAAGACACTATTTCAACACAATAATTTCAAATGCTAATCTTTTCTTTGTCAGTAGTTCTTGAAAATAATTCTGTGAGGTCTATGAGTAGGATATACAGAATAGCTTAATTAATCATCCCCAGTAAGGTGACCTTATGTTCATTAAGCAAAGCTCTTTCTAATTCGATGACGACGAACCCACTTTGAGACTAATAATGATTGGAGATGGCTTGAATGGGTAATGAAGAAAAACTTTAATATAAATTTTTCTTCATTACCCATTCAAGCCGTCTCCAACCATTATTAAAGCTCTTTCTATTTTAATGTCAGTGTAATATCGTTTTGTTAATTGTCTAAGTTTTACTCAGCTTTCATGTGTACCTTTCCCCATTGTTTTATAATATATATAGCTCGAGATTTGATATTATAGTCCATCTTGAGAATTAGTGATAGCACTCTAGCGCTACAAATTACAACCCTCCACAAACACAAACTACGTAATAATCATTTTTCGTAAGTTTGCACAAACAACTGGCTGCGAACTTTGGCCTGAAGGTTACCTTTTTTACCTATCTTACCTATTCACAAAGAACAACAAACATAGACCAAGTAATATCTTCTTACAGCCCACCAAAGTCAACATGAATATTTAAAATCACATAATTTTACACCTCGAAAGGTAATACCGAAAACAAGTAATAGCGGTAGCTGTTAGGTTGGACTTTTATTTAAATCATTGGGTTATCTTAACAACAAAAGTAAGCCTCTATTTTACAAGGCAAAAATTAATCTGAAATAACTACCATCATTAGTCTTAATTAGATCTTGTGACTCAAATTAACTCAGTAACTTAGACTGAGTTGGATTATGTGTACAGAGTCCAGTGACTCAGATTGAGTTTTATCATGCGTACAGAATTAAGTGACTCAAACTGAGTTGGATTATGTGTATAGAATCTAGTGAATCAGGCTGAGTTGGATCATGTGTATAGACTCCAGTGAATCAGACTGAGTTGGATCATGTGTGTAAAGTCCAGTGACTCAGATTAAATTGAATCATGCGTTCAGTGTCTCAGTGATTGTAGGATTTTATTTCACACAGTAAACAGATGATGCGTTGGAAGTCGTAAATCAAATTCACAACAATTCTTCGTACAAATCCACATTTAAAACGAACCTTTTTAAAATATGACATGGAAAGACATTCTATTTACGAAGTTAATAAAGTCAACGTTAACTGCGAAAATCATATTTCGTTGCTTTGATGTCATCTTGCGTGAGTTAGTCCTTTAAGTTACTTTCATTTTGATAGGTTGTGAGTCAGTCTTTTAAGTTACTTCCATTTTGATAGGTTGTTTTAAAAAGACTAATTCTACTTCCTGTCATTTCCCTCCAAGGAGAAGATTGTTTTATCATCCAAATATTTAGAGTAAAGGGTTTTTTGTAATATTAGGTCGTCAAGAAGTTAATGTCCCGTTTTGGAACACTTTCATTAACCCCCCCCCCCAAAAAAAAAACGTACATCACGAATAATAGTTAAACGAACCGCCTAAACGAGAAGTTAGTGTAATCTATATAATATGTAAAGTTTAGTACACTCTAATTGCTTATATTATTGGCACACGACGAGACACACACATTCGGCATGTAATGCAATTGAATACAATAAGGGAAACAACGCCTCTGTAGCCACAAAGAATATCAAAGAAGTTTATGGAAATGTTTTGATCATTCGTAAGTGTCAACGATGGTTCAGCAAGTTTCGTTCAGGTGACTTTAGCCTTAAAAACTGTGATGGCAGGAGCCGGCATGTAGGAATTGATATTGATGCTCTGAAGACGCTTGTTGAGTCTAACCCAAGGCAACATACTCGTGAAATGGCCCCGAAATTGCATGTCTCTCATGAAACAATATATAAACATGTAAGGAATATGGGAAACTCCATAAAGAAGGTGTTTGGATGCCAAACGAATTCTCCAATGATCATCGTTTCCAACATGTGAATGTTGCTTCGTCTCTTCTGGTGTGTAATGCGCGTGAACCATTTTTGGACAGAATTGGATTATCTATGCGAATATTAAACGCCAAAAACAATGGCTCAGTTCTAGACAAAGACCACTTCTGCCCCCAAAACCTGGACTCCGTTCACAGAAAGTGGTGTTTTGCAGTTGGTGGGACATCAAAGGAGTAATTCATCTCGAACTCCTCAATCCACAGCGAACTGTCAATGTAAAGATCTATAGTCAGCAACTGAAACGTTTAAATCAAGCCCTTCATCAGAAACGCCCTTCACTCGTCAATCGATCGAAAAGGTGTTCTTCTTTACCACGACAATGCACGTCCACATGTGGCACGTTTGACGCAACACAAGATTATGGAGTTGTCCCCCACCCACCATATTCTCCAGATATGGCACCATCAGATTACCATCTCTTTCATTCTCTGCAACATCATCTTAATTTTAAAACGTGTGTAAATGTGGAAAGTGTTAAAGAGGACATCGATATGTTTTTTGCTTCAAAGCCAAGTGATTGTAACATGGAAAAGCATCATCGATAAAAATGGAGACTATTTCATCTAATAAGTGTTTTGTTGTGATATATAAGTTGTTCGGGTTTTTTCATCTAAAAAAAAAGCGACATTAATTTCTTGACGATCTATTAGTTTGTATTATTTTAATCATATATTACCTGACCAGAGTTTGTTTGATATTGTCGGGAATATTACACATCATACGTAAACACGGTATGTTATGAAATCATTTTTCCACTGAATTCTTGGGTTTAAACTTATCTAATACAGTAACTTCAAATAATCGGTGAGCTGTTTTGAAACTTTCTTTATCTTGCGTTATACACTTATATATTTTTCATAACGGGCAAATTAAACGGAAATTAAAAACTGAAAGAAGAACACTTAGTTTAGCATCAAATTTTTTTACTGTAAGGACTTTACCTCCATAGTGTTATACATTTAAGGTAACTAAGCTGTCTAATTTGGCATTATTTTGTATGTAAATCATGCGATATAGAACTATAACTAATAACTAGTATGTTCTATCCAGAAAAGTTATAACAGCATAATATTGTGTTTATACAATAACATTATACAACATTATAAAATATACAACATTAATTTTTCTTAGTTCGTTCATATATAAAGAGAGTTAAGTAAAAACATGTTCGTTGTTAGTAACGTTAGGAAATAATCATTTTTGTGTTTAAAGCTGTGTTATTTAGTTACCACTATTATTCAGATGTGTAAAACAACAATCCAAAGTATAGATTCACAATCATTACCTGGAATGCCTGGGTGTTTGTTCGTCTTAGAATTGTTCGGAAAGCTACACAACGACTATTTTGTGATGACGGGGATCCCACTTGAAGTATATATATATATATAGCAGAGACGGCTGATATGTGTATTAAAACCTTTTATGCAAATCACAAAACAAGTAACAACGATTCGATATCTTTAGGTCATCATCGGGTTAAGAATAACGTTTCAAATCTAACAAACCTCAAATGATGAATAATTAAAGGAATTTTGATGGAACTTCCAGCTAAATTATCAAACACCTTTTTAGCTCAGCCCTGTGAGTTATCATAAGTTTAGTAGAAATTCCCAACAGTAGATATAAACCTAAAGTTAAGCTTAATATCTTCAAGTAATCACAAACATCGTGTCATGCAAGGTACACACGGCTAGAATTAATCTGTGAACAACTTTTTTACGAGATTTTTGTAACGTTTCATCAGTAATTGACCCCAAAATAATTCGCATTTTCACAAAAAAAAAACATGCAAAACATCTGAAGAAACGTTTCATCACAAACAATAATGCTTGCAACAAAAGTAACACTTTTAATAATAGAAAATGGCAAAGAACAAAATTTGCGATGAAATGAGCATAACTTTTTAAGTTTTTTGTGTGAGTTTAAGTTAGGCTTAATGTTTTACTTAACCTAAAGATATAATATTAATTTTAAACAAAAGTTACCATGGAGTACATACATTTACTTAAGATTCTTCATCATTCCCCTAACAGATCGGTGACCTCTGCCTCGATTGAAGCTTTACGTAACGGTACCTTACAGAATTATGGCTACTCCCTCGAAGATTTGTAAGTTTTAACTTTAAACTGTCATTACTAGAAGTAATAGAGAGTTTAATGTTTCTTTAAACTATTATTTCTAGAGATAGTAGTGAGTCTAATGTTTTTTAAATTGCAATTTCTAGAGATAATATAGAGTATAATGTTTCTTTAAAAGAGTCATTTCTAGAGATAATAAAGAGTATAATGTTTATTTAAGCTATCGTTCTTAGAGGTAACAGAGAGTTCAATGATTCTTTTAAACTGTCATTCCTAGAAGTAATAGAGATAATAATGTTTCTTGAAAATATCATTCCTAAAGGTAATAGAGAGTTTAATGTTTTTTAAACTATCATTCCTAGAGATAGTAGAATGTATAATGTTTCTTTAAACCGTCATTCTAAGAGGTAATAGAGAGTATTATGTTTCTTTAAACTCTCATTCTTAAAAATAGTAGAGAGTATAATGTTTCTTTAAACTGTCATTCCTAGAAGTAACAGAACATTTAATGTTTCTTTAAACTGCCATTCCTAGAGATAATAGGGAGTATAATGTTTCTTCAAACTGTCATTTCTAAAAGTAATAGATAGTACAATATTTCTTTAAACTATTGTTCCTAGAGATAGTAGAGTGTATAATGTTCCTTTTAAACTGTCATTCTAAGAGGTAATAAACAATTCAAAGTTTCTTTTAATTGCAAATTCCAGAGATAATATAGAGTATAATGTTCCTATAAACTGTCATGCCTAGATGTAAAAGAGAGTATAATGGTTCTTTAAACTATTAATATTAGAGATAATAAAGAGTATCATGTTTCTTTTAAAATGTCATTCTTAGAGGACATAGAGAATTCAATGTTTCTTTAAATTGCAATTCCCAGATATAATAGAGAGTGTAATGTTTCTTTAAACTGTCATACCTAGAAGTAATAGAGAGTATAATGTTTCTTTGAATTATCATTTCTAGAAGTAATAAAGAATATAATGTTTCTTGAAATTGTAATTCCCAGGGATAATAGAGAGTGTAATGTTTCTTTAAACTTTCATTCCTAGAGGTAATAAAGAGTATAATGTTTCCGTAATTTTTGATTTTTAGAAGTAATAGATTGTACAATATTTCTTTAAAACTATCATTCTTAGAGGTAATTGAGAATTCAATGTTTCTTTAAATTGTAATTCCCAGAGATAATAGTGAGTGTAATGTTTCTTTAAACTGTAATTCTAGAGATAATAGAGAATATAATGTTTCCTTAAACAATTATCCTCAGAGATAGTAGACAGTATAATGTTTCTTTAAACTGTCATTTCAAGAGATAAAAGAGAGTATAATGTTTCCTTAAACTATTATTCGTAGAGATAATAGAGAACAAATATTTCTTTAAACTGTCACTGCTAAAGGTAATAGATAGTTTAATGTTTCTTTAAACTGCCATTCCTAGAGGTAATAGATAGTTTAATGTTTCTTTAAACTGTCATTCCTAGAGATAGTAGAGAGTATAATTTTTCTTTAAACTATTAATCGTAGATATAATAGAGAGTATAATTTTTCTTTAAACTATTAATCGTAGAGATAAAAGAAAGTATAATTTTTCTTTAAACTATAAATCGTAGAGATAATAGAAAGTGTAATGTTTCTTTAAACTGTCACTCCTAAAGGTAATAGATAGTTTAATGTTTCTTTAAACTGCCATTCCTAGAGATAGTAGAGAGTATAATTTTTCTTTAAACTATTAATCGTAGAGATAATAGAGAGTATAATTTTTCTTTAAACTATAAATCGTAGAGGTAATAGAAAGTGTAATATTTCTTTAAACTTTTATTCTAAGAGATAATAAAGAGTATGATGTTCGTTTAAACTTTCACTCCTTCAGATAATAGAGAGTGTAATGTTTCTTTAAACTCTCATTCCTTGAGGTATTAGAAAATTTAGTGTTTCTTTAAATTACCATTCCTAGAGATAGTAGAGAGTATTATATTTCTTTTTGCTGCCATTCTTAGAGATAATAGGGAGTATAATGTTTTTTAAGTTATCATACTTAGAGATAATACAGAGTACAATGTTTCTTTAAATTGTCATTCTTAGAGGTTTTAGAAAATTTAATGTTTCTTTAATCTGTCATTCCTAGAGGTAATAGGGAATTTAATGTTTCTTTAAACTATCATCCCTAGAGGTAATAGAGAGTATAACGTTTCTATAAACTGTCATTCTTTGTGTTAATAGAGAGTCTAATGTTTTTTAGACTGTCATACTTAGAGATAATGGAGAGTTTAATGTTTCTTTAAATTGTCATTCCTAAAATAACACAGTGTATAATGTTTCCTTAAAGTATCATTCCTAGAAGTAATAAAGAATATAATGTTTCTTTAAACTGCCATTCCCATAGATAATAGAGAATATAATGTTTCCTTAAACTGTCATTTCTAGAGATAACAGGGAATATAATGTTTCCTTAAACTGTTATTCTTAGAGATAATAAAGAGTATAATGTTTTCTAAACTGTCATTCCAAAAGATAAGAAAGAGTATAATGTTGCTTTAAATTGTCATTCTTAGAAGTAATAGATAGTATAATGTTGCTTTAAACTATCATTCCTAGAGATAATAGAGAGTATAATGTTTCGTCAACCTATCATTTCTAGAGAAAGTAGAGAGTAACATGTTTCTTGAATCTGTCATTTCTAGAGATGGTAGACAGTATAATGTTTCTTTAAACTATCATTCCTAGAGATAAAAGAGAGTATAATGTTTCTATAAACTGCCATTCCTTCAAGTATTAGAAAGTTTAGTGTTTCTTTAAACTCTTATTCTAATAGATTATAGAGAGTATAATGTTTTTTTCAACTTTCATTTCTACAGATAATAGAGAGTGTAATGTTTCTATAAACTGTCATTCTTTGTGTTAATAGAGAGTTTAATGTTTCTTTAAACTGTCATTTCTAGATATAATACAGAATATAATGTTGCTTTAAACTATCATTCTTAGAGGTTATAGAAAATTTAATGTTTCTTTAATCTGTCATTCCTAGAGGTAATAGAAAGGTTAATGTTTCTTTAAACTAGCATTTATAGAGGTAATGAATGATTTTATGTTCAGTGAAGAACCCATTCTAGAAATCAGTTAATTAAGATATAAAAACAGCTACTTTTACAGTAGACAACTTCTGGTTTTAATCATTTCAACGTTGTAATTATTAAAATCAAAACTTCTTCCTGTAAAAGTTGCCATTATTGTATTTTTTTAATTGATAGTGAGTTTGTAGATTACTTTATTAACACAGATAAGTGTATGGAAGAATGAATTGTTTAGCCAATCATCCATACATGGCTCATGAAAAATAGAGGATAGAAATATTGAGATTAAATATTTGTTTTACAAACCAAACCCCCTTTATAACGAGTTGTTGTTCACAAATAATGACAGAAGGTATTCTCATATATAGAACTAAATTACTTGTATAATGAACATCACACACGTGTGTATTTATTCGCATATACATAGGCCTTACAGATTTTCACGGTGTTAAATATTTGAAACCAAACTTCCTAGCGACTGAGAACCAAATCCGAGCAAGCTTTTATCGGGATTTAAATTTGAACAAGCTTTGTTAAGAGCTCAATGTGAGTCCAACGAACCAAGTACATTAACAGTCATGGAGACAAGACTTGAATGCATTAATAATAAATTTAATTAGCTCTTATAGCCAAGAGTAAAACCATAATTTCCTTTGAGAGATAGTTTTTAAGCTCCTGTTCGTTCATTCATTTTGTGTTTGTTTGTCATGTATTATATAACTCTTTGCTGAACGATCTCCTATTCTAGCTAAATTTGTTCCCTCTGCTCAGGCCCTAAACACAAAACTGTCTAAATCAGTCTTGTCATACAGTTTCAAGTATTGAGTTTCCTTGATATTTAGGATAAAGCACGTTGGTTTAGAGCTTATTAATCTAAACACGCAAAGCTTTGAATTATTTATATCAACTAAGATGGGAATAAAGGTTTTGTGTTGTGCAATAGCACTAAAAACATCGTTTTGAAATTTATCAAGTAAATTACTTGTTAAATAAAAGTGATACGCCTAATAAATAAGCTAGTTTTAGGTTTGAAAATTCAAATAATGGTACTGAACGGTTTGACTACATAACGTTTTTCATGTCAGGACCGTGTCTAATCGAATTTCAGGATTTTATCATCTTATTAAACATTTTAATACCAAACAAACCAAGTGATTGGCTACTGTATTTTTTTATGTTTCCTGGAAAGACGTAAAATAGAATCGGTTTACGTTTAGTTGAAAGTCTTTTTAATGTTCTTACTTTCCCTTTGAAAAATAGCTTGAGTTATAATTACAGGTCTATGTTGTTCATTCAAGCTGACAGTAACTATAATTGTAATAGCTATATAATAATTGAGGAGAAACTATTGGTGCAACTGTAGCTACTTCCTCCGTCGATCAACTTTTATCTGATAGCAATGATTATACATCATTGCCAGACACAGAAATTATGATTATAAGACATTTTTGATAATAACGGCGAAGTAATCGTCTTCGAAACGTTAAATTGTATTTTGACATCGGCTTCGAAGACTACGTTTAATTCTCAGATTACCGATGTTTTACAATTTTCACTACGTGTGAGGTTCAAAGGGACTCCGTACACTAATACGTAAGAGAGTACACTATTTATAGTTTCTCGATACTTTTCTTTTTATATATTGATGTTTATTTTACGACACATTAATATTCAACATTATAAACCTTTAAGATTGGAATTAAAAGTTTTAATATCGGACACTATACCAAAGGCGTACCGATAAACTAAGAATATCGTCTTTAACTATCACAACTGTCACATAATCTCTTGGAATGATCCTTATACATACAATTTTGGTATTTTCACATCTGTCCCTGCATTGTTGGTTCATTTCTCGCTGGCAGAACTTCAAAAAAAGGAAACTTTCAGATTTCGCAAGCTAATGTCAGATTTTGTTGTACATGGTCACCATCTTTTAGATTTTGTTGTATATATATG